GGGGTGTGGATAGGGGACAGGGAGCGGGGGGGGGGTTGGATAGGGGTGGGGTCCATGGGGACGATTAGGAGCGGGGGATCCTGGGAGGGGGCAGTCAGGGGACAAGGAGCCGGGGGTTGGATGGGTCGGCGGTTCTGAGGGGGGCAGTCAGAGGGCGGGAAGTGGGAGGGGCGGATAGCGGGTGGGGGCCAGGCTGTTTGGGGAGGCACAGCCTTCCCTACCCAGGTGTAGTGTATTAAATTGCTCCCTGTAATGTGCTACTTATGGTGTACTACTTATGGCTGCCAGTCCTGGTGCTCTGTAAGTAGTACATTCCTACAGGGAGCAATTTAATATACTACACCTGCCCTCCATACACTTTTGGAACCCCGATGTGGCCCTCAGGCCAAAAAGTTTGCCCACCCTTGACCTAGAGAATGTTACCTCATTCCAGAGCTGCATGTGTTTCATAAAAGCTACACAAAAGTCTATCTACACCACGTATAAAACAAAAACAAGTCTCAGGAGATGACTTCCAAGACAAAATTCTGTAACAAGGTGGTGCTGCTCCTTTAAAGGGCATGCCCTGGCCCCACACAGTCTTGCAGCCCAGAGTCTATGCATTCTGGGAGTTGTAGTTCCCAGAGACAGGGGAAATGTAGACTGAGAGCAATGCCTGCTGGGTATTGGGGTGGGACTATATAACAATCTCTCTCCCCTCAGAACTGGGAGAGATCCGGACAATACTTGCAGTAGAGCTCCCAAATGAGAGGGGTTATGGAAAAAGGTGAGAGAGGAGGCTTAGAGACAATCAGAGGAATGTGTACCTTGTGGAGACGTAAGTTTTTCATGTAGTAGAAGACATTTTGTGAGCCTCAGTACTGAGGTTGAAGGTTTTTTTACTTCTGTTCAGTTATACTCTTTCTTATCCCAGAAGGGGGTGGGAGGGTTTGTTTTGGCCACAGGACTGAACTACTCTGGCAGGGAGAAGGAAACCAAGATGCAATGAGGGGAAACTGAGGCACTGGCTGCATTTCTAAGATGAGAAGGAAAATGTACTTTTACATGTGGGTCTGTTTATGACTATTAATTTCCAGATAATTCACCTTAAAAATGAACAAAAACACCCCAAACAAACAAACAAAAAACAGGGTGGAACTTGTCAAGATTAACTGCCCTTCATGGTATATTTGGTGAAAACTGTGTGAGAGGAGTGGTGGTTGTTGTTGGTGGTTGTTTTTTTGGGGGGGGTCATATAAAGTAACATAATATTATGTCTGAAAATGGGTGAGTGGTTGAGTTTTTCATGCTAAATCATGCCATGAATGTTTCCCTCAGCGGAGGCAGACGTGCATAATTTCTTAGGGGATTTTATAACCATGACAACCAGTTTTAGAGGAGTATTTTCAGTTTCCATAGTTTAAATTAAATTTGCACAAAAAGAAAAGCTTTTCAAAATGGGTACAGGTGAGCTGCCCCTTTTACATTTTCATAATAACAGTGGAATGCTATTGCCCCCTATGTTATCGTCTTAAATTTGATGTAATTAAAACCAAAGTGACACGAACTTCTACTTTAATGTAATGATTGCCTTAATAGGACAGTTTTTATTTCCCTGCTTAAAAAACTAAATTAACTCACTTTAAAGATGCTGAAATTAGATCTTCTTGGTTCAAGTTAGATATAAATAGACTGTAATTCATAATGACTAAAGCATGTTGACATTTAATGCATAAGACTTCTTTGATGTTGTATTCCTTTGTACAGATGAATTTTGATGTGTTTTACAGAAAGAGTTGAAAGAATTTAGGTAAACCTAAAATAACTTGAAGGTGGTTATAATCTGAGTTAGACATGGTTGTTATGTTACTTAGAAATCTCATAAGCAGTTCAGGGGAGGGGGAAAGGATATCTAAGTGATCTTCCTTTTTTCAACTATTTTAAAAATGCCAGTTGAGACTTTGTTAATGTTAGTTCCAAAATACACATGGACCAGAAGTACATCAGTGAATAATAAATTGGTCAACAGTTCCATACAGACAAATGTAATCTTTTCCTTGGTGCATGAGGTTTGACTGCATGTGCAGAGCAAAATCATGTTAGCTGGGTGTTACAATATCCTGTGACAGAAATATGTACGTAACTGTTCACTCGCCTATTAAGGCCCAGATCCATCACAGCACTGATGCACATTCTTAACTTTAAGCATGTGAATAGTCCCAGTGGAAATTATGCTTAAATTATGCACTCGTTTAAGTGCTTTGCTGGATACGGCCTTAGTCTCTTTCAGCATTGCTGCTTTCCAAGTGTCTCCCGCTCTGTAAAAGTTTTGGATCATTATTCCCCAGTTAGCTTGCACTTCTGCAGACTGTATCTCATCTCCTTTCCAGCTCGGATTTCTTTCCCACCTGGCCCTTTGTGTCATTTCTCTGTACTCACTTTTGTTTGCCACATCTTCCAAGAATTGCCTGTGTCTGAGGTATCATCTGGGAGCAGCCATTCTCTCTCTTTTATACCAATTTTAAAGCCTACCTACAAAGCCCTAGAGAATCGCTGGCTTCGTTTTCTAAGGAAATCACATGAAAATGAGCTTTCACAATAGGCAGCCGGGAATGTATGTTAGTTTCTTTCTGACGTTGTCTGAACGTGTGGACGGTCTCACGCTTTTGCAGCCAACTGCTTTTACCTCATTCTTCTTGGCAGAAGTACAGCAACTTTTGTATCATTAGCAGCTCCTTCAGCATCGCTCTCCTGCAGCATCGCTGTCTGAGCTCACAGGCCTTGCAACTCTACAGCACAAAAAAACCAAAACGCTGCAGCAGTGAGTCCCAGAGATGGGGTCAATGGAGGGGCTCGCGCTATGTGACCTTTTACCCTCATCGGGCCTCAGAGCCCGGACTCCAGCTGACTGGGAACATCTATACTGCTATTTTTACCCCTGTAGCTAGAGCCCTGTGCGGATACAAAAATGTGGATTCGCATCCACCCAGATTAACCTGCGATCCGACCCGTGATCTGCTAGCCGACTTTTACCTCTATCCGCATCCAGTCCCTCAGCAGCAAGCCGTGGGAAGGGAGCGGAGATCCAGCAGGGGCGGGTGGGGTCTTGCAGGGAAGAGGCAGTGTGAGGGCAGGGACTGGGGGTAAGGGGCAATGTGGAGGGGAAAGGGCGAGCCGCTGCACGGCCCCGATTCTGACCTGCTGCCCAGCCGCTGGGTGCCGGCCCCGAGCATGCTGCACCCCCCGGACTGCCTGAGCTGGATGCCACGGGACAGGTGCTGCCAGGAGACATGGTGCCGGAGCACAGCCGCTGCTGCTCAACATGTACTTGCCAGGTACGAGGCCTGCCCCTCTGGGAGACCGGGCTGCCCGTGGGCCACGCCAGGGCACAGATCGGAGCCCCCCACTGCACACGTGGGCCTGCCCTCCCTGTGGGGACCTGGCCTGAGAGGATGGGGATGGGCTCCTAAGTCTTCTCACCTGCTCCTGCTTCTCCCCTGGCTTGCAGACTTTCATCTGCTCCCCGAGTCATCAGTCAGGCAGCCCGGCTCCTTGGCACTTCATGGTCTCTCCATCCCCTGATAGGCACGGACTCTCTCCCTTTCCCGCTTTCTCTCTCTTCCCCTCTCATTCTCCCTTATCTTCCCCTTCTCACCGCTCCCAGCCCAGGTGGCAGACTTCTTACGCCTACTTAAAGTGCTGCGGGCTCTGTCGGAAATCGGATTTCCTTCTTCCAGCACGCATCTCCTGGCTTCATAGCCCCAGCCAGGGGGAAGTGGCTGTTGCCGCCGCGCAGGGGGCTGGGGACCGAGCTGTGCTTTATAAGCTGCCCAGCGGGCACTGGGAAGAGGCAAAGCGCCTCCAAAGCAGTTTGGGACTTGGCCGGGCACAACTCAGCTTGGCTCGGCCCTGTGCGAACGTGTCTCTGTCTCTGCTCCAGATCCATAGAGCCCTGTGTGGTTGTATCCGCATCCGCTCCACCATCTGCAAAAATGGTCCGTGGATATGAAGCGGATATCCGCGCATTTGCAGGGCTCTACCCATAGCATTAGCCTAGTGAGCCTGGCGCTGTTGACTTGGGCTCTGAGACTCTCTATTCTGTCTTATAATATCCTGAATAGATATTTCCCATATCTCTTCAAGAACTTACATTAGGGTGACCAGATAGCAAGTGTGAAAAATCGGGAGGTAATTGGCACCTATATAAGAGAGCCCCCAAAATCAGGACTGTCCCTATAAAATCAGGACATCTGGTCACCCTAACTTACATGGCCCCTATCTCTTTATTATAACTAATTATTATTATTTGTATTGTCGTAGTGCCCTAGGAGCTGTAGTCATGGTCCTGGACCCCCTTACGCTAGACAATGTACAAACAAAGAACAAAAAGATGATCCCTGCCCCAAGGAACTTACAATCTAAGAGAACAAATGGGGACAGACAGATGGAGGAATACAAAAAACAAGAGGACCTTAGTTAGCATGCCAGGCAGTGGTAGGTGTAATATCTGACTATATCTTGATGGCCTATGCATCAGCTGTAAAGTTGCATTGGGCTGAAATGTAATATACAAGCCAAATTCTCATATGCACACCCACTGCAAGTGCAGGTCTCAGCCCAGGAATGTATTTCTTTGCAAACTAACATGAAAATGGATGTTAAAATTATTTGGAAGCGTATAGATGAAGTGGGTGTGCAAAGTAATCTCTGTTTGGAAATGATAAAGGTGCCGTTGCTTCTGCTAGGAGTAATTTGGTGGCCATGCAACTGCTCTCCTCAGTGCTGGCATGGGTTCCCCTATACTTCTTTTTAAAATTTAAAAATTTATATTTTAAAAAACTTAATGGAGATATCCTATCTCCTAGAACTGGAAGGGACCTTGAAAGGTCATTGAGTCCAGCCCCCTGCCTTCACTAGCACGACCAAGTACTGATTTTGCCCCAGATCCCTAAGTGGCCCCTGCAAGGATTGAACTCATAACCCTGGGTTTAGCAGGCCCATGCTCCAATCACTGAGTTATCCCTCCCCCGCTTCTTGGCCTGCTCATTACTTTCTGCTTTGCAATGGTTGACTCAGCACTATCCCCTTGGGTTAAGCAAGATCAAGACCTCAAGGACTTTAAAGCATTTTCCTCAAGGTTTCAACTCTTAGCAATCTGGGCTTTCAGCAAAGCTGAAGTGTAGTATGATTGGAATATCGAATATGTCCTCTTTTTGCGTGACTATCCTGCATTGCAAGCTGAGGTGCTGGTGCTGATACTTGTAGATCTTTCAAGCTATTACTTCATTCCCATGAACAGTAACATATCTGGCTTTTGCAATAAAAATTCCAAAATAGCCCAAAGCAAGTAACTATATTTACCACCTGCCTGATGGATGGTTAGAACCCTCTTATACGGAAGGAAATTGGACATGGATTCTCTAATAATGTAAAGATACCAAAGTCCTCTAAAAATGCTATTAAAACTGACAGGGAATTTTTTAATCAAGATGTGTCACATGGGAATGCTAGTGAAAGACCAAACTTTACTTCCTGGTCTCTGTCATATGACAAGGGTCAGGGTTATGACCGGTTATATCCCTGTTACATGCTGTGTCTCTGTATACACTGACTCAATTGGTTACAGTTACAACCTTCCTTTTTTTAATCCACCCCCATGAAAATCAAACGCAAATCAAACAAAATACCCAGCTTAAAATGACAACCACAAATTATTACAGCCAAAGAATAGAACATAAGAACGGCCATACTGGGTCAGACCAAAGGTCCATCTAGCCCAGTGTCCTGTCTTCCGACAGTGGCCAATGCCAGGTATTTCAGAGGGAATGAACAGAACAGGGAATCAAGTGATCCATCTAGGGTTGCCAGCCCTCCCGGTTTCACAGGAAGTCTCTCGGAATCGGGCTCCGTCTCCCGGAGGCTACTGCAGCCAAACAGGGAGAATTTAGGCCACTAAAAGTCTGGCAGCACATCAGGGCTAAGGCAGGCTCTATGCCTGCCCTGGCCCCACACTGCTCCCGCCTGGAAACAGCCAGCACCTCCCTGCAGCTCCTGGGGGAGGGAGGGCAGGGGGGTCCACATGCTGCCCGCACCCCAAGCACTGACTCCTCAGCTCCCATTGGCTGGGAACTGTGGCCAATTGGAGCTGTGGGGTGGTGCCTGCAGGCAGAGGCAGCTTGCAGAGCCACAAGGACATGCCAGCCACTTCCAGAAGCGGCATGGGGCCAGGACAGGCAGGGAGCCTGCTGCACCGCCAACTGGGAGCCACCCAAGGTAAGTGCCACTGGGGCGGAGCCCACACCACTCACCCCCTCCTACACCCCAACCTCCTGCCCCAGCCCAGAGCCCACACCCAAACTCCCTCCCAGAGTCTGCACCCCTCACGCCCTCCTGCACCCAATCCCCTGCTCCAGCCCTGAGCCCCCTCCAGCACCCAAACTCCTTCCCAGAGCTTGGTTCCTTCTGCAGCGGCCTGTTCTGCGGCTGAGGTGGATCCAATGCCTGGAGCCCATTCCTATTGTCAATGACTGGATTTCTAGTGGTTAGGGGACTAGCCGGAGACGGGGGATCAGTTCCCTGCTCCACCACAGATAGTCACCAACTCTCACGATTTTTATCTTGAGTCTTATGATACCGGGTGGTTTTCTTAAAATCCTAGACACTGGAGTCATGTGACTAAAACAGAATCTCCATTTTCATTTGGGGGCGGGGGAGGGAGTAAATTTCTAGCCCTTATGGCTGCTGAGAAGACTTGAATCCCAAAGGTGTAAAAGCCAGAAAGCAAATAAAAAGAACTCCAAATGAATTATTTTAAGAATCTTACTATTTTTAAGCCAGTCTCATGACTTTTGGGAAGCCTGGAACATTCAGAAATGATGAGTGGGATTGACGGTACTGAATACTAGCGATTATGGAGATTAACCTTGCTGTAACAGGGCTTCGTTTGGGCGTTTTAACACCAACCTGCATTTCCTCACTGCTGGCTTCCTTTTTAAACAGTAACCCAATCTAGCTTTGGCGAGTATGTGTGTTACTGTATTTCAGGGCCTTGGCTGTCAAAGTCCAACTGAAATTAGTCCTCGAAATTGGAGTTCTTTGATCCTACAGTATTCTGGAGGCTACTGCCTTCATCTGTCGTCTGTACATAGTGCAGTACAGCCGTATAGTACCTTGAACAAGAACTAGACCACCCTGGAGAGGCAATGACCCCTTTTGTGCTAATAAGTTGAACTAAACGTAACAAAAACTAAGCAAAACTCTCTCCTTGTCCTTTTTAATGCTAGGTCCGTGAGGTGGCGTAACCAATTAACACGCTGAGCTTCAGATAGCTGCATTGCAGAAGGTGCACCGCTGATGCTCACTGGGCTTCTGCCAACCTCCACTTTCATCATTTGTTACTTTAAATCAATACCATTACGTTCTGCTTTTAACTTCTACTACTGGAGCTGAACTACCTACATTTACAACCTCATCTTTGATGGAATAGGGATACCTGCTTTGTCATTATGCTGGAGACGTGGGGCTGTGAAGTGGGCATGTCCAGGAGCCGAGTACAAAGGCAATCGTTCAGTGACATTGCTAACATTTCTGAAACTGGGAAGGAAAAATAGAAACGTGGTCTGATAGCAATACAAGTGAAGTTCCTTCCCAGCATTGCATAGATGTTTTTCAGTAATAGATGTGCAAGGCTCATTCCAAGCCAGAATGAATGTGTAGAACAGTCACTTGCTGTCACATTGAGGGGTGAATGGTGCATCCTACAAAAGCTATCAATAAGAAACGTACCATGCAAAGCACCAATGTGTGTGCATGTGCGCACACATGCACCCGGAGTTATTGAACCCAGGGAGCCAGAGAAGAAGTATCTGCTGTGATTACAAATCAGACAAAGGGGAAACGGTGGCCACAGCAGACCTAGTGGAATAAAAGCACTGACCTAGACAAGGCTGTTAGGATTATCATTTAAAGGACAGCAATGTAGGAATGTTCTACTACTTTTGTTTCTTCTAATAGGTGAGTTACTGCCACTCGCCTCTTCCTGAGCACTGCAAAAAAGCCCTACTTCTTCTCCGCAGCAAGAGTGCAGCACTTACCCGAGGCCCTGATTCTGCCATCCTTACCCTCCATTGTGAGTAGCTTATACTGCAAGTTATTCTCTTGAACTTTTGTTTGGCCTTTGTCATCAACCCCTAGGTGCAGAGTGCCTGGCAGTATCACAGTCCGGAGGCGAGGCGAGTGTAGGTCATTTTGGCCACTGTTTGCATTTCGCTTCCCAGGAGCAGTAAAAGCCTGTGAGATTGCACATCACCTGTTTGTCACACCCTTTGGCTCTCTCACTGACTGCTCAGCAACTCTGAAAATTGGACCACTTTTTAAATGCCTAAATATGGATTAACTTCGGGCATCAAAGTGTGAACATTTTGAGCATCATGTTAATGATATTGCTCAATTGAAATATCACTGACCTAACTAGCAGATATATTGTTGCTTCCTTTGCCAAGTAAGAGAACTGATCCTTAAGGAAGAAAATTGTTTTCTAGAGATCATCATTGCTTAATTTGTGCCAGCGCTTGCCACTTCATAGCCCCAGTACCTCTGGGCTTGCCGCCTCAGTTATGAATGTAAAAAAAAGAAAAATTGCTCGAGCCCCGGCACCTAATTGCAAGATCCCTAGCACTTCTTTCATTACAAATTAAGCACTGGAGATCATCCTTTCAAAGCAGATAGAACCCCTCCAGCAAATATATGTCTGGGTTGTCAGAGCTGTGTGAGCTCTGGGTTGATCTGTGCTCTTTTCCAAGCCTCAATCATTATTTTATAATACTTCTCAGGGCTCTGTCTAAAAGGTAAAATAAATTTCATGTTGCACTCTCACTCTTAACTCAGTCTAGGTAGGATCTCATTCCATGTAGAGTTTGTCACTGGATCAAACTGGGCAGCCATAATCCCTCAGTTTTCATAAACTTGATATACAAATACCTGAATGAATGAGGTTTCCTTTGTTCCCCTGCAGTGTGATATAAGCTGCTGAAATCTTGACTTTCTTCTTGAGTGAGCTATAGAAGAATGAAAATGTAAATGATCTGTACTGGGATAAAAAACTCTTCTATATACCAACCACTAAAGTAACTACTTTGTGCAGTCTATACCCTGAAATAATGGAGAATGCTTGAATTCTGTCAAATTTAACCACAAGTATAAAGATAATCCTGCACATGATGTGCTTTAGACCTACTTGTGCGGCAGAAATCGGCTTAGCCAAACTATCTGCTTTATACTATATCTTTGGGCTAAGTCCCTCAAACAGATAGCTTTCAGCTCATAGGATAAACCAAAGGATATGTTTTGAACTGGTCTGAATCCATAAAGATTAGGGATAGCTGAACCTTTAATGTTCTTCTAATATTTATTGAAAAGCAGTTACCTTCCTCTAATGGGAAAACAAAATTGAATACCTAACCAAACATAGAATTCCTAGAGGTTTAGCAAATTAGAACAGCACAGTGACTAGGCTAGAACAGTCTATTGACTAAATGAGACCAAAAATAAAAATGCAGTGGGCTAGCTCTTCAGCTGGTGTGACCTGGCACAACTCTGACCTTAATGGATGTAATGATGCTGCCTCGGGCGGGACACAACTGAGAGTATCAATTCAGGACAAATTGCTTAGAGCAGGGCAGTTACAGCCCAAAGCTGGGGTTTCTCCACTACTAAGGCACGTCAAACCAGCCAAACAGAGAGGACTTCAGTCTCACCCCACTGGCTAACAAAGTCACACAAGCAATTCCCTTAGACACTCCAGTTTCCCAGTATCACCACCAGTGCCACTTATTATGGGGATGAATGGTTATGAAAACCAATGCCCCAGTAAAAGAAAAAAGGTTCTCCTGATCCCAAAGGACCAAGCCCTAGACCCAGGTCAATATACCAATCAGATTTACCCACAAATCACACTGTTAGAATCTAAAGGTTTATTCATAAAAGGAAAAAGATATAGATGAGAGCTAAAATTGGTTAAATGGAATCAATTACATACAGTAATAGCAAAGTTCTTGGTTCAGGCTTGTAGCAGTGATGGAATAAACTGCAGGCACAAATCAAGTTTCTGGAGTACATCCACAGCTGGGATCGGTCATTCATTTCATTGTTCAGAGCTTCAGTTTGTAGCAAGGTTCCTCGAGAAGTAAGAAGCAGGATTGAAGACAAAATTGAGGGGTTTCCAAGGCCTTTTATATTCTCTGCCCATGGAAGGACACCTCTTTATTCTTACTGTGGAAAATCACAGCAGCAAGATGGAGTCTGGAGTCACATGGGTAAGTCACATGACCATGCATGACTCAGTTTGCAGGCCGACGCCATTGTTTACATTTTAGTCTGAACGTTCCCAGCAAAGCTCAGATGTGGATTGGTGTCTCCCAAAGTTCATTGTCAATTAAGTGTTTCTTGATTGGGCACTTACTGAGAATAGTCCCTTCTCAAGAAGCTGACCAAATGCTTCACTGAGGCTACTTAGAATCAAAACACATTGAGAGACACGTACATAGCCAATATTTATAACTTCAACTACAAAATGATACACACATACAGACAGCATAATCATAACCAATAAACCATAACCTTTTCATAGACACCTCACTCAAGAACCTTTGTACAATATTTGCTGCAAATATATAATAGTGGGTGCAACAATAATCTATACAGTCACAGTTCATGTCAATAACGTCACAATAGAGCTACACTGATTTAGCCCAGCTGAAGATCTGCCCCAAATGGCACACATCAAGCCAGTGTGACAGAAAATGCTTCCTCTTGTCTGTCACTATGTCTAAGTTTCTCTAGAGCGTTGGTTGCAGAAGTAACCACACATGGAAGTTATCCAGCTGCTGACAAATGTTTAACTTGTTGACTACTTAAGGGCCGTGCTTCTAGAGATAACTAGATTTGAAGTTTAGGAAATTCTAAAGTCAGGCTAATGGTCACAGTAATCCTTCTCACTGGATCTGTTTGTTAGTACACAAGCTCTGTCACCTTACCATCTGAGCACCTCCCAAACATTTAAAAATAGAAATAACTTTTTCCATCCTTCCTTCCCAATCAGCAGGAGAAATCTTTATTCATGTATAGCTTTGGGTGTGCTTGTCTGAGTGCGCAGAGAATTAGCTATGTCAGAGACATGAGTTTTTTATTTAGTTGTGAATGCATTGAGGATGGGCGTCATTCCGGTGCTCAGTAACATAGTGTGGCACCTTTGAAAGTTCTGTCTCCCACACTCACGAGCTTCCCCCATTGGGCGATGAGGTAAATTTATTCCAGGGGAACACAGCTGTTGTGACATGTCTCAGAGGGAGAGGTGTTCTCTTTTAGGGCCAATCTAATGGAGGGCTTTGGACAGGAGGTCAGAGACCAAGAAGTGCACTTTGTAGTCATTGAGGCAAACTGTATTACTAAGGAGATGGGGTGACACGTTAAGTAGCGGCTGGATGTGTGGCCTCGTTCCTCGATACAAGGATTGGAACCCCTGATGTGTTGGTGCAGAGATCCTTGTCCCCATCTGGGTGGTTAAACACTGGAATAAATTGCCTAGGGAGGTTGTGGCATCTCCATCTCTGGAGATATTTAAGAGTAGGTTAGGTAAATGTCTATCAGGGATGGTCTAGACAGTATTTGGTCCTGCCATCGGGCAGGGGACTGGACTCGATGACCTCTCGAGGTCCCTTCCAGTCCTAGAATCTATGAATCTCCCCCAGCACTGTTTTCTCAGCACACTGAGGAGCAAAGGCAGTAGAGTTGGGAGAACCAAATATCAAACTGGCTGAGCAAAACCAGGGCATCGCCGACTTCTGCTTCTGTCCACATGAATTTTGTTTCATTACAAGATGAGATCTAGCTATAGGTCTGAACTCCTTTTATAATTAACAGTCTTATGAACAAAACTTTGCTTGCACAAAGCAAATCCAAACGAAGGACAATTATGGCAAACTGAAGTTCAGGGCCAAAGCCTCAGCCAATGTAACAGAGCTACGCCAGTTTACAGGCAGTGCTGCTCTGGGGATTTACACCAGCTGAGGACAGGGTTCTCTGTTTCTCATTTGGCAATTCGTTTCCAAAAATAATTCTTCCCTTATTCACCCGCTGTCGTTCAGTCTAGCGGTATGGTGAGAAGTGAAATCACACCAGTATCTACTCACACAGTTGCTGAGTATTGAATGAAAATCATGAAAATACCACTCATTCAACCTCACAAAGCACATTTTCTAGACCAGAGTGCTTTTATATTTGATAATTATATATGGTAGTGTTGTGAGAAATTCATTTTAACATCAATTTAATTTCTTTGTAATTACTTACATTGACCAGGTCCTTTAAATTCATAAAGGGATTTGAGAATCGCATTTGAGAATGAGGGACAAAGTTGGCATGACTAAGAATAACTGGAATATACAAAATCTTACCATGCCATTTGTTTTGCTATTACCATTTCACTGCAGCCATAGTCCTGGCCTATTGTGCCTTTGTCATAGGGCCAGATTCTGGCACTTTTCCTGGCGCTGAGGAGTACCTTACTGCTCAAATAGAGCCACGGACATCACTGGGAATATAGTACTCCTCAAACTCATCGTGAGAACAGCTGGGCGGGAAATGGTTTTTCTGTCCCATGAACATTTTTGAGATTTCAAAAACTTTTCCCGTTTCTCATCAGAACAAAACTGAAACCTTGTATGTGAGAGAAAAAAAGAGCCACCCCAGAAGAACTGATAGCCTAGCGGTTTGTAGACTTGGCTGCGAGGTGGGTGATGCAGATTCAAGTCCCTGCTCTGACTATGTGTCTCTGGTTTTGACCAGAAATTCTATCCTGGACCTGAGAAACCTTCCTGATGAAAGGATAGTCAGAACCAATATGTTTCTACAAAAAGCTTTGCTTTTGATGAATAGGCATTTTTGGACAAAAAAACATTTTGTTGAAAAATTGCAGACCAACTCTAAATCATGAGTAAGGATGGCAACTAGACCTTAGTGAATAAATGAAACCCCCAACCCTGAACATGCGAGTCCTTTGTAGGTAAATGCCTTTCCATGGTAATTTTTGCACTTAGCTGCAAAGTTGTCCAAAATGTATCCTTTATGCCA